GAGAGAGAGAGAGAGAGAGAGAGAGAGAGAGAGAGAGAGAGAGAGAGAGAGAGAGAGAGAGAGAGAGATTAATAAGGTTCCTCTCACATAAACCAATCCTCAGTCAACATTTGCACACACTTCGTAAATCATCTCATCTGAGCTAATGCATGCAATACACATGAGACTGAAATGACACATTTGGCCAAAAGAGACAATACACAGCAGCTCTCTGAGGTCCTCGACTTCTGTTCGCCCAGCAAGGACACATTCAGCCAAAAGTGACACTGAAACGGTTTTCACCTGCTAGCAGTAGCAAATGCAGATCCCACGGCTCGATCCCTAGTTCTGACCTTCCGGTGTACAGTATCGAGTTGACCGCTGAGTGTTTGAACCCGTGACCTGTGTTTTGTTAGTTGTTGTTTGTCTGTCGTAGGACTGTGCAGATGTAGGGATTCGATCTGTAGGTCTGTTGAGTAGGGGTCACAGCTCTGTAGAGGTCGTAGCTATAGGTCTACTGAAAGGTCAAGGTCGTAGCTGCTAAAGCCCTGAAAGGTCAAGGTCGTAGGTGCTACAGTACCCGAAAGGTCAAGTCCACAGACTTCCGGAAGGTCCCGGAAGTGGCCTTTCGAAGTTGTCTCACGTTTAGTCAGAGGCAAGTGGGCAAGTGGTGAGCCCTATAGCACTGAGTCGGCAGTGAGACTGGATCGAGTCGGCAGGGCAATCCCACGCAGTCATCGGTACCAGTCCAGTCAGTCACAGCCCAGTCAAGCAAGTACCATGAGGGACTGCGTGCACCATGGGCCGGTGGAAAGGGGCAGACCGACGAGTTACAGAAGAATAAATCAAGAGGCAGCGCCCAGCCATTCATTCATTCCTGCGTGAGCCATGCGGAAGCGCTGCCATAGCGACTTGTGCGAGGTGGTCTGCAGTGAGCCCGAGGATGAAGTGGGCGAGAAGGAAGTTAGCCATAGCGATAGGGTAGCAGCGGCCATAGCCGCCATAGCTGTAGGTGTGTGCGGGTGTGTTCGAGTGTATAGAGTGTTGCGTGTGGGATATCCAGGGTGATCTGGTGTGTGAACAGCAGTGTTGTGTGAGTGACGAACAGAGATTTGTATGGGCGTTGATGCGCCATAGCCACCTGCAGTGAGACTGTATCTGAACTGTGTTCTTGATTATCATATCTCTGAGTTTTTAGTGGGTGCTTGTCGCCAGTTTGCTGCGCAACCTGTTTGGATGCATGTGAAGTGTGAATGAAAGCGAGTCACCATTTAGTACTGTTTACTATTTCGGGCATACTCACACACTCACACTATCTTTCATATATCTGACTGCATTGACAACCGGACCCGTATGCATCTGGCCGCAATTCTGTCCGCAAATCGGTAAAAAAGTGCTAGTGTAAGTATGGCAGTAAATGCCCTTAAGAGTTTTTCAGATGTGCATTTGTCAATGATGAGTAAGGGCTGGGTGACAGTTGAAACCAGTGAATTTTTTTTGCCTGTTTACAGTGTTTACAGTGTTGATGTCCGTGTTTTCTATTGGGGTGAAGACGGTACGGTAGGAGTTGATGTATGGCTATTTACACTCTTATCAAGTCCACATCGGATGGAGTAAGGTCTTTTGACGTGTCAGCTCGGCTGCGCATGCCTCCATGTACCTCTGTGAGCAGCAGAATACTCTCTGATCTTGAACGTGCGAGATTTTGGCGCACCCAGCGTTCACCTTGCCCTGGATGTTTCCAGACACAGAATCTGAGGTGAGGGCATACTCACACTACTTTTTCAAATGATATCTGTGGACGTGATTGCAGCCCGATGCATCCAGGTTCCGCCGTAATTGCAGTGAGATACATTTCCCAAAGTGCACGTGTGAGTACGCCCTGCGCCTTTTAGAGTGTGTGCGATCTGTGGCCATGGTTGCCTTCTGGAGACTTCTTCGACCCTCGGACTACTGTACCCTCTCTAGGGCCTGACTGTTGACTTTCTAGGGCCTGACAGTTGACTTTCTAGGGCGTTGACTTTTGGCTTGTTGGCCAAAAGATAGGAACCCCTTGAGACTGATGCTCTGCCGATGTTGACCCCGGTACCAGTCAATACAGTATAATATATTAATATTATATCAATTAATATGGTACATAGTACGACAAGTGAACAACACATATTACATAGGAGAGAGCACACGGTGCATAGTAGATAATAGATAGTACATTGTTTAGGGATAATGCAGGGGTAATGCACGCATAGGACATAGTGTACAGTGTAAAACATACTACACAGAACATGCTACACAGTAGATTTGAATGTTGTGTCGGAGCAATGTACAGTAGATAGGACATTGTATAGCAGCAATGTATAGTAGATAGTACATTGTCCAGGAGCAATGTACATAGTACATAGTGGGTACATAGTGGGTACATAGTGGGTACATAGTGGGTACATAGTGGGTACTGCATTGTGCTACATAGAAGACAATGCATAGTACATAGTAGACAGGACACAGCGCAATGTACATAGTACATAGTGCGTAATACATTGTGCTACATAGTACACAATGCATAGTACATAGTAAATAGCAGAGTGCATACTGTGTAGTGGATGGTATATTGTGTAGGATAGGAGCAATGCATATGTGTAGTAGATGGTACATAGTGCAGTGTACTACATGCTACATAGAACACTACTACAGCACAGTAGATAGTGCATTGTGGAGAAGCAATGTACAGTAGATAGTCCATTGTGCAAGAGTAATGTACATGGTAGATGGTACGTAGTACATAGTGGTATGATAGTACATAGTACATGGTACAATATGTACCCAGTACATAGTACATAGTACATAGTACGTAATACATAGTACATAGTACCTAGTACATTGCCTACATAGTACATAGTACATAGTACATAGTACATAG